GTCAAACAGCGACAGCTTGCATAAACGGAAAATCAACAGAAATATGTAAAATACAAAGAGGTGTCGGACAGGGTTGTATACTATCCCCACTGTTATTTAATTTATATTCAGATAGAATATTTAAAGAAGCGCTGCATAATTTGGAATGGGGCGTGAAAGTTAATGGAATTCTGATAAATACAATCAGATATGCAGACGATGCAGTTATTTTAAGTGATGACATGAATGGATTCCTTTTAAATGCCATTGATAAAGTGGGAAGAGAGTATGGCCTAAACATAAACTGTTCAAAAACAAAACACATGGTCTTTAGCCGTTTAGCACATCAAGATGCACGATTATATGTTGATGGTCATATAATTCAAAGAGTGTCCAGTTTTAAATATCTTGGTTGCCATATTACTGAACACCTAGATCCAGATCAAGAGATAAAATGTAGAATCGAGATAGCCCGCACGACATTTTTAAAAATGAAGTCATTCTTCTGCAATGATAACTTGCAACTTCAACTTCGAAAGCGCATGGTTAAATGCTACATTTGGTCAGTCCTCTTATACGGTGTCGAAACATGGACATTAAAAATATCCACCATTAATCGTCTGGGGGCCTTTGAAATGTGTCTGCACAGACGTATACTAAATATTCCATGGACGGCTATGCTGACAAAGGCAATCCTTGAGAGACTGTATTTTGGACACGTAGTAAGGGGAGACCGATATAATATTCTTCAACTTATTATGATGGGTAAAATCGAAAGACGCAGAGGAAATGGTAGAAAGCAGGCCTCTTAGTTGAAGAATATCAGGGAGTGGACAGGAATAAAGAAAGCTGAGCAACTATTTAGAATAGCTCGAGACAGAGACAGTTTCACCATGTTAATCGCCAATGTCAAGGGGACTTGATAGGGCACGTTAAGAAGAAGAAGTTTCTAAAAAAAAACCGGTAAAAATTATTTGTTTAATTCCATGTGTTAACAGGATGTCAATTTAATCTCCAAATGCTATTTGGCAACTTTGTAGAGTGAGATCACCGGCCGGTTGCTGTATTTCGTGCCAGGGTATTTGAAAAACAGCATTTCCAAGGTTTTAAGAGGTCCACATAGTTTTGAGTAAAAATTAAGTAGCCGAGTTTTGAAGAATATATTTTGTTATCATCCAGGATAATCTGAAGCTTAATTAGATGTTTGACCTCTCCAAGATTTGTCCATTTTGTGTCTCGATGAGTCAATTCTGATCATTTGCAATTTGTGTGGTACAGTGTGTTTGTTTTGTATCCAATTCCAAGGTAATAAACTTTCCTAATAACTTAAAAAGAAATACACACCCAGTAAAGCAAGCTACTTTTTGTTTCAATTTTCTAAATAAAATAAACATTATTTATTAATATATACTAAGATTTACTTTCATGACAAATTAAAAAATTATAAATAAATAAAATTATGAGTTTTATGGATAAATTTTTAGGTACCTACTTTTAATAAATAAAAATGTCTCAAAAATTGACTGTCACCAACCACACAATTTAAAAATTACAAAATTAATCATATTTGCTAATGCAACATGCAAATTAAATTGTACTTATATTTTTATTCAGCATCTGCCCTCTCTTTAGATCTCTTCCCCATGGCAGTGCTGATTTTGGAGTTTTTCCAAGCTTCATCTGAAAACAAAATTAATGTACAGTTGCGGTCACGGAATAGTTTACACCTTACTTTTTATATTGTAATACTGTAAAATTGCAGTGTCGTACGGATTTGATAAATGTCAAAGTCAAAAAATTTCAAAACGTCAATGCTTTCGCGAGTGTTCAACAATAAAATAAAAGTATATTAAACTCTTCCAAAATGGTTAGAATACATTTGAATTATGCGCAAAAAAGACTTCTTTATTTTCGTTATTAAGATCATAATCCATTTTATTCAAAAAACTGTTTTCTATATTTTTCATTTTGTAAAATATTTTGATATTTTAATTTTAATCTAACTATTCTAGCTAGTACACCACTGGCAACGTCACTTTGACGTAAAAGGTGCGTTTAAACGAAGTAAAAATTTAAAAAATGGGCTCCTGGATACGTGAACCTGTAAACTATTCCGTGACCGCAACTGTACATTCATATTGAACAAACTATTTTCAGATTTAATTCATTATACTTTGCTTATTTTGAATAAATCAGCATTCAAGAACATAAAATTAAACATATGAATTACAAATGCTGTGGTTTTAATGAATCTCGCCTGAACTAGAAGAATACCAACCCAACCATTGGTATTTATTTCTAATAACCAAATGAGCAGTAATTACACTTTGACCCTTAAAAACAAAAATAACAGTGTATAAATAACAACAACAAACCTTCATCTCATATCTCTAACTGTAGTTCTTAAAGCAATGTCATAGCTAGACCTTAACATTTGTAGAGTTGGTAAATTTTGCCATCGGCTGTATGTGGCCACTTAAACGATAGTGTAAATTCTTAAATGTATCTTAAATTTATTTATGTTTGCAAGTTAAAAACCTTTTAGAATCATAGCTATATTGTGTGTCTTCAAAATTTTTATATTGCTTTTTCCCTAGCCAACTATATTTTCCTTGAATTTTATTGTGGATCAGCTTCTTAAGCCTTCTCATAACAAATTCGATTATGGTCTCCTCACCAATTTTAGAAAGCTCATTATCTTAAAATATAAATCAACACGTATTATCCGACAAGTGAGAGCTGGCGGGTGAGCTGCGCGAAAATAGAAAAGGAATTATTCTAAGAGAGATAGGAGAGGTACTTAATCGCTGGTGTCACAAATGCGTAGTTGCCGTATCAAAAATTTAGTTGGGATCTGAAAGTTAAGTTAATAGATATGTTCGGTGGTTGTGTCATTGCGTGTGTGATAAACTTATTTACCTTGAAAATAAAATAAAAATAATAATAATATTGAACAAAACGTAGAAAAAATTTGTTAATAATATTTATTTTCATAAAACGTAATTAATTCTCGAAGGGAAGGTATTTTTGTATGTATCGCGGACTGATACAACTTGTGTGTCTTAATGATTACTAAACCAAACACGACACAGAACACACGTTCTTTGTTTATTTTTCTAAGCCAGACGGTAAACTCAAGTATTATCGGCCTTTTATCTTAAAGTGTCCAGGATATGAATAAACATATTGGAGAACCACATTTCAATTTTTATGTCATTTCTATTTCACATGTGTATACCAATTGCGATAATGTAAATTTTAACATGAAGAACTGTTATTTAATTTTTGAAATAATTAGCTTGTCGCTACAAATATACGTTGTATTATCAATAATAGTGAACTGTAAAGTACTAAGTAACTGATCCATTGTTTACTTATTATTTACTGGAATTTTTTGTTCTGTAAGTTTTTATTTATTTACTGATTATAATTTTATTGATTGTAACTTAAATTAAATTATTTAAATCTGAATTTATGTTGAAAATGAGTATTATAATTACCAGTTAATTGAGCTACACGTTCTTGTATCTATTTTAAATCAACTAAGACTTTATCTGCATTAGCTTCTTCGGTTGTAAACTTAAAAACATTGAAAATTATTTCTCGTGCTTAAGATCCCAAAGGTTTGCCTTTTAATACACTTGCCATTTTAATTAATATAAATAATAGTTTATAATATAGGGCCACTCCAAATAAAAATGTAAATACGTGACAACACTGCCAGAAATCTAGCACTAATTACACGATGTCAACTCCTAGCCGCCTGCAATAGAAATGAGCAATCCCTTCCACTTTTCAATTTGTTCTATGCGCAACCCGCCAGCTCTCGCTTGTCGGGTTTAAACAGTAATCAAACTACCCCACAATCTTGATCATCCATGCTTAATTATTTTAGCTTAAACTATTTAATATAAAAACTGCCTCTGTTACAAAATCAATCAACCATTTATTTGCAAATTTTGGTTTATCATAACCATGGTAAATGCCTATTAAACCTACAATTTTTGGATATATAAACAAATTACACAAACGAGAATAAAACTGACCACTAGAACTCTTTTTTAGTGGGATTCCGTCAAAATTTACACAAGTTTCTATAACATTGTTTTTTTTTACGAAGATACCTGATTGGATCAGGTATCTTCGCAAAAAATTTGAATCATATGGATAAGAGTATTTTATTTAAAATCAAAGTAAAAATATTGTCCTGAGAAAACTTCCTTAAATTTAAGTTCTCTGTATTTGTGGATAAATACCTATAACTTTGGTTCGGATCAACCGACTTTAACGAAATAAGTGTCGTTAGAAAGAGCGTGAATGAATTTATTTACATCTACTATAAAATAATTGCATTTAGTTTTAATTGTCATGGGTAGAGGGTACTTTCGAATAGAAAAAATTATAATTTGTTTTTCTTCAAAATGTTTAATGGAAACACCTATTTATTGTAATTTATAATGGAAATGTAATAAATTCGTAACAAAATGGCGCAAAACACATGTTAATAGTTAATAGCTAAAAAATAAAAAAATATATTTGAACAACTTTGTCAGGAATTTAGACCTCTTTCTAGTTTACTTATTTAACACTTGGTATAATTGGACATATTTCCCAAAAAACTGGTTTTCAAAGTTTTCTTCTCAAGTTACGCCTCCTGGCGGTTAACCCAGAAAATTAAAAGGTATTTCTAGGGATTTCTCTTGGCCACTTTTACTAAGAAATTTTTTCTCGTTAAGTTATAACATGAATAGTTTCTGATATATAGCCGAGAGATCGGCTTATTGGACCACCCGGTACATAAATAAAAAAATTAGTCTAACAAATTAGTTTGTTCCGTACTGTAAATATATTCCAAAGCTATTTGCAGTATGATAAGTACATTTCCTAAATAAAATTAAATATCTATAATGATTAATGTTGACTTTTGCCCTACCGCTGTACATTTTAAAAAGTATTTATATTATCTTATCACTGCAGTGTTGTCCCCATACCACTCTTTAATAAATAACCTGCCGTGATCTTTTTTTAACCAGTCCCTTCGTCGATCTATACACAAAAATTCAGAAAGTTTCAATATTAATACTTATCAGTAGATAACATTGCTGTTGCCACCCACCATCAGATTAAAAAGTCCCAAACGAGGTGCGAGGTCAGTGTCCCCTCGAAGACAAACCACAGAGGGGCGCGTTTAAAAATATAATACCACAGTGATAATAGTTCAAGTTCAACTTTTGAAAACGGAAAAATTAAAGGCTGAATTTATTATTTCACAACACCAGCATCTACTTAAGTCAGTATAAACGACTAAGCGAGGCTTGTCGCGTCTCAAACAGGTTGTTGGGTAAATGTTATAACTGAATAAATATCCAATGCAATTCAATAGAAGCAAACACAGATGCTTTAAAGAATCAGTGTTGTTTTATCATATCTGTACGTGATGATAATATGACTTAGTATAAATTCTTTAATCAGTTTGTTTGTGACAAATCGTTTGTGAGAAGTTGAGGTAAGTACATCAAAAATTTAAGTTATTCAATTGTAAACTTAACACACAAAGGAAAGTGGTTGTTATAAATAACTCATGAGATTGTTAACCGCTTACTGTATACAAAGCGTTTAAAAGTTTGTAGCGACAAAACGAACCAATGAATAAAACAAACAATGACATTGTCAACGTCAAAATAAATTAAATGTAAACATTTGTAAGAGTAAAAAAATTGCATGTCATTGGCTTGTTTTTATTTATTTAAGTCATTACTATTTACACAAATATTTAATGTATTACTAGTATTTAATTCAAATGGGAATATATCTGAAATCATTTTAACCAACTCCTAGTAATAATATTTCATTGTGTTTAATACATTTATTTAAAGTCTGCAAGAATCAACAATGTCCAAAAAACCACGTTCTAACATTTCCCCTTACATTTGATAGTCCTTAAAACGCACTGGAGCGCTTTTGAGTCTAGCGCTAGTTCTATTTTCAGCATTCATCTGGGAGGTTGAAGGTTCCTCTACTCCACAACTCTGATTCCCAGATGAGGAGTTTAATGATCTATCATTATGTGCAAAATCAGTATTCTTTTTAATTTCCGCTTTAACTAGGGAAAGTCTCAAGTGATAACTGTTCCGCCTGACCACTTCCCCATTTTCTTTCTGCACTAAATAAGATCTGGGTGCCTCATCTACTTTTTCCAGAATTTTGCCTGGTCTTCATTCTCTACCCTCTCTGATACATTCTCTCCTGGCACTATTCCTCTTCTTACCTTGGTGTTTCTATCATAATAATTTTTATATTCGTTTCTTTTTGCCTCTAGTTTCTCCCACTCTTCTTTTAGATTTATGTCTTTGTGCTTTTTATTTGATGGTAGCTTCGATCTAAGAACCCTGTTAGTCACTAATTGGGCCGGTGTTTTATCTGTTCCATTTATTGGAGTATTGCAATACTCCAGGAGCGCCATATCTAAGTCGTTACACTTTCTAAGCATATTTTTTACAATTTAAACAGCTCGTTCTGCCTGCCCATTAGACCGTGGATAGCGGGGACTGGACCTTACAAACCGAAAATCCCAGTCTTTAGCACATTGCTGACAATGCCACGAATTATAAGGCATGTTATCTGATATGACTTCATAGGGATTCCTTGTGTTGAAGAAATTTTCTTTAACTCCTTGATGACCACCTGAGAAGCCTTATTCATTCACCTTATTTTTATTTTTACTCATTCAAAATATCATAATTATCATCATATATGACCACTGATAGCCCATGAAGCGTGTTGTGGCCAACTACACGCATAACTCCCCAATAAGTTCAATGTGTTATATCTAAAATCGTTACTGCCTAGTTTGTCTTTGCTTTGGGGAAATCAGTTCAATGTCATATACATTCTGCTTCCTTGACTACAGTTGTACTTTTCTTTGCTTGTTTTTCCTATTCTCGTATTCCTAGTACTTTTAAATCTTGGTTAATACCATCAATCCATCTCTTTCTTAGCCCACCTTCTTCTTCTTATAGTGCCGTGCACCTATCGTGCGTTGGCGAATTATCTTAAGGCCAGACGTCTGTCTTTTACGGCATGCAAAAGATCGCTAGTGTTATTTATGCCTGTCCAGTTCTTTATGTTCCGTACCCATGACATTTGTTTGCGACCTACTCCTCTCTTGCTTTCAATCGTTCCGTGGATGATTAGTTAAGGGATTGCGTATTTTTTTCCTCTCAGAATATGGACGAGGTATCCAGTTGCACCCCTCTTAAAATTTCAAATTCTTCTGTGTTGGTTGATTTGTTCAGTCTCACTCGTGCTTTTTGATTTCAATAGAGATTCTGGATAGCTCTTATATCTTTCTCGTCAATGTTAGCATTGTGTAGCATTTTTATCATTGAAACTATGTACCCAGTCCGCTCTTGAAACCAAATTGTATCTCACCGCTTAAATCTTCCAGCTTTCTGAACATTCTTGTTTGAAGGATGCGAAGAAACACCTTAAGCAAATGGCTTATTAAACTTATCAGTCTGTGGTCTTTGCATTTCGTCGCTCTTGATTTAGGGATTTAGGGATCATTCTTCTTCAAGTTCCACTCCTATTGGAGTGGCAAATATAATTTTGTTGGTTACGCGCCTGAATAGTTCAATTGAACTGCATCCAAACCATTCACGGAGATTGCGCAGCCACGAGATTTTACGTCTTCCTACGCTTCTTCTGCCTTTAATTTTACCCTGCAATATATTCCTTAGTAGTTCGTATTTTTCACATCTCATGATGTGCCACAAGTATTCCAATTTCTTGATTTTTATGGAATTTAAAACTTCGCATTGTTTTCCTAGTTGTTCGAGAACTTGTTCATTTGTTTTGCGATCCATCCATGATATTTTCAAATACGTCAGTAACACCACATTTTGAATGCTTCTAGATTTTCAATGTTGGATTTTTTAAGTGTTCAAGCTTCAACCCAATACAAAAGGGTAGAGAAAATATAGCATCGAAGCATTCTTATCCGGAGCGATATATTGATATCGCGATTACAAAAAAAGTTTTTTCATTCTTCTCCTCATTTTCTTTGTCTGATCAGTATCTTCTGTGATCCATGTTCCAAGGTATTTGTACGAAGATATTTGTCCAATTTCTGTATTATCTAGTACTAACTTAACTTTGATGTTTTGTGCTTTTGTAAATACCATGAACTTGGTTTTCTTCAAATTTATTTTTAGTCCATAATCGTTGCAATATATATTTAGTTGTTCAGCAAGGTGTTGCAGTTCTTCTAGTGTTCCTGCCAGAAGAACGGTGTTGTCAGCATATCTTATGTTATTAAGTGGCTCACCGTTTATTATAAGGCCCTCACTGATCTCGACAAGCGTTAATTCTGAGATGGCTTCACTGTATAAATTGAATAACAAGGATGATAAAATACACCCTTGGCGGACCCCACGGCGAATCTGATATCCTCGGTCAGTTCATTTTTAACTTTCACTTTTGCTGTTTGGTTCCAATAGAGGTTACATATGATTCTAATGTCTCTACTGTCTATGTTTTTATTTAATAAAATTTTTTTAAGCCGATTATGCTGCACTCTATGAAATGCCTTCTCAAAATCAATGAAACAGGCATATACTTCCTGATTAATATCTAAGGATCTCTGCGAAAGAACACTTAATGCAAACAGTGCATCTCGTGTTCCCAGTCCTTTCCTAAATCCCATTTGTGTATTACTTATACTTAGGAGATAATTAGGGATCATTATAAAGGTTGAATAAATCCAATCCGTTCGATGTTCGTTCGAATTTTCTTTGACCTCTTTATGTAGTCCAAAGCTGCCTCCCAAATCCCTATAGTGATTCCAATTCTTCACAAAGTTCTTTCATCTAGCTTTCCTTTGCGTTTTTAATTCTTGCCATTATCGTACGTTGGATTTCCTTGTATTCCTGTTGATTCTGATGTATTCTCTGTAAAATATTCTGACGAATATCAGGAAGCAGTCTGTTGGATAGGGAGAGAAGCGGAAACATAAGAAGAGCATGCAATATGGAAGACATAAATGGATGGGTGACAAAACGAAAACAGCAGTAGAATGGAAGAGGATAGAATAGTGCGAATAGTACGAGATAAGTCACCAAATGGACGAAGAAGTATTGGTAGACCAAGAAAAAGATGGTGCGACAATTTAAACAATTTAGGAGGCTAATATTGAAGAAGAAACAGGCTTTAAAGCCTACGTACTAGAAGGAAGAAGAAGTTTAATATTGCAACACCACTGCATGGGTCTCATCATAGATATTCTATTATCTGCGCGATGAACTATTTCGTGGAAGGGCTAACTCGATTTGAAATAAGCTGTACGTGATACAAGTCTCAGATATATTGCGACATAACTAATGTCTGACGAGAAAAAGTAATTTTACTTTTTTTTGTCTTTATTTGTTAGTTTTCGTATTGCATCTATTAGTTCCTTATATGTAATGCTTTAAGTAACGTTATATTCTTCATTATTGCTTTTTTCTTTTTGCGAATCTGTAGTGATTTTTGTTTCGACCTTTGAATAAAAGTTTTTGGAAATATGCTGTCCATCTCTTCATTATTTTCCCTTCTCCTGTCAATGAGTTCCCATTCTCGTTATTACCAACATTGCTTCTTTGTTTTTATTATGCCTTAGACCTTCTATAAATTATAAATAAAAATATTAATGTAAAAAAATTAAATTATTTGTACAAGTTAACTCTTATATAACATGACTAACATCATAACTAATGCCAATAAAGTTATCTACAATGTAGCAAATTTAACAATTGTTTTCTAAGACCACCTCCACATATAAACATTAAAATTAAGTAATAAAGATTAGGAGATCCAATTTACTCATAATGTATACTTCTTTTAACCGTCAAATATTGTTTAATTTTTTTATTATTAATTTAATCTAACAAAGCATAGAATTCGTAATAAAATTAAAGTACTATACCCCTTGCTTGATAACATAGGCCATTATCGACGATAAGATATAATAAAGATAAGTTTGTATTAAACTAAACAACGTTAGCATATTATTGATACAGTTATTTGTTGCAGTATGTGAAAATAATACAAGAGAAAAGAAAATGATGCAGATCAACCGGAAGCTGCTTCCCATCAAGGCCCATTACTTCTTTTTTATGGCAGGTAAGGTTGAGACAGTTTATTATATTTAGGGATAGGTTAAGCACAACAAATTTAGTCAAAAATATTTAATTTTAAAGAATTAACGGTTATTGGTATTTATAGAATTGAATAACTGGATAATCGAGAGGCACTTTTTACAATACAAGTTCTCTTTCAAAGATGTAGAGACGTGAATTGTGATTGTCATATATGTGTGTTTTGTTGATTACTAGAATGCGTTCGATGGAATAAAACATGACGAACTGATGAAAATATTAAATTCAATTGGTCTGGACAGCAGAGATCGCCGTATAATAAACAATATCTATTACAAATAAACTGCACCTGTTAGAGTTGGGGATCAGTTAACATATGACATAAAGATAAAAAGAGGTGTGCAACAGGGATGTATATTGTCCCCATTATTGTTCATTACATATTCAGAGCACATTATGAACCTAGCGTCATTTTTACAGACAGTCTTGAATAGAATAGAATAGAATAGAAATATGCTTTATTGTCACTGAAAATTATTGAACAATTTTATGGACAAAGCTAAAAAATAAATCAGTCAAATAGTACAAAAAGTATAAAACAAAAACAAATATAGTAAAAAACAGAATAACACAATTTTAAATTAGTAAAATTATTGTATAACCTACATAATTTGTACAGACAACAACAAATGAGACAAATTGTAGCCACTGCTTGAGACACCCTAATGTAATTATAAACAATACTAATTTTGTTTCTTTGTTATACATTAAGAAACTCGTCAACTGAATAATATGGTCTTTCTGAGAGATAGATTTTTGTCACCTTACGAAACTTAATGAAGGATGTTGCGGATTTAATTTCTCTTGGAAGGTGATTATAAAGTTTCTTTTCACGATATAGAATAGAATTCTTTACTAGCTGAGTGGACGGGATCGGCAAATAAACGTTACAATCCGAATTTCTAATGGAGTAGCCATGGTCAGGTCTATCGGGAAAAATGTTTAGATGCTTTCGAATCAAACAAACCGTTTCCAAAATAAATAAAGAGGGAAGCGTCAAAATTCCGTGATTTTTGAAGTAGGTCTTGCAATGAGTTGTTTGTTTGAGACCAAATAGATAACGGATTGCTCTTTTTTGCAACTTAAAAATAGTATCAAATTGGGCCGCTGTACTAGAACCCCAAAATGGAAGCCCATATCGAAGATGGGACTCGAACAATGAGAAATATGTCATTTTGGCAGAAGATAAATTTAGTTACTTCGAAACAGATCTTATTGCAAAGCAAGCTGAGGCTAGTTTCTTCCTTAAGGAGTCAGTATGCAAGGACCATTTGAGATCACTGTCAATGAGAATACCTAGAAATTTCACGAAATTTACGATATTGATTTGGCTCTCATTCAAAAGCAGGGGTTGCATGACTCCTTTATAAGATAATGCTACAGTCTTATCCACGTTAAAGCTAAGTAAGTTGGAGTCTGACCAAGCCTTGATTATAAGTAAATCAGCGGTTATAATTGAATGAAGCGTTGAAATATCAGAGCTGCTCCAAGTAATACTGATATCATCAGCAAATAGAAAAATTTTCCCTTTAATTTTCAAGTAAGTGATGTCATTAATGAAAAGTAAAAAAAGAATGGGACCTAATACTGAACCTTGCGGTACTCCACACTCAATATCTTTACAACTAGAGTCGGTGTCATTTATTCTAACCAATTGTTTTCTACCATGTTTCCTACCTACCAAGTAAGTTTTGAACCAGTTCAAAGGCACACCCCGAATTCCATAGAAAGTTAATTTTTTTAATAGAATGTCGTGATTTACGCAGTCAAAGGCTTTGGAATAGTCGCAGAAAACGGTGGCGGAGGAGAGGTTACTGTTTAGTGATAGATATACATCATGTAACACAGAAAATATGGCATCACTAGTGCATTTATTAGACAAAAAGCCGAACTGATTTTGCGATAAAATATTATATTTAAGTCGAACTTTTATAAGTCTTTCAATAATTTTTGATAGTGCTGGTAACAAGGCAATAGGTCTATAGTTGCAGGCATCAGATTTTTCTCCACCTTTATGAAGAGGAATGACGATGGCAGTCTTTAGGCAGTTAGGGAATGTATCTTTTTCAAGGGAATCATTTACTAGCGAGACCATGACCTCCAAAACATTATGCGGTAGATTTGAGAAAATTTTTATAGATAATCCATCTGTACTACATGACGATGTGCTTTTTATACTACGAATTGTTGAAATGAGTTCCGTCTTATCAACTGGTCTTAAAAAGAAGGTATCAGCAATGTTTTTTGAATTAGAGAGATAGGAAGCTGGATGTTGTTGTGGCGAAATAGTTGAGGTTATATTTTTACTCACATTAACAAAGTAATCATTTAGATTTTCGGGGTTAGGAAAAGAAAAGGTTTGATTCGCTGTACTGATTTTATTACGAAAATCGTTAATTATTGACCAAGTTTCTTTTGAAATATTTTTGGAGCTTATTAAGCGATTATGAAAGTAGGATTTTTTGGCTACTTTGAGTAGTTTTATATAGCATTTTCTGTACTTATTGATATAATCAGAGACGGGGATACTGTCATTAAATTTTTTAATATATAAGGTCTGCAGACACTTGTGTCCAGGGTGGCAGAAGTAAGTAGCAGATTTTCTGGATAGACAGAGTTACCAACAAAGAAGTACTACATAAAATGGGTAAAGAGCGCGAACTAGTCGTTACCATAAAACGTCGCAAACTGGAATACCTTTGCCATATAATGCGCAATGAGCAACGTTATGACCTACTTCGGACCGTACTTCAAGGTAAAGTGCATGGGAAAAGAGGTCCAGGACGAAGAAGAATATCCTGGCTGCATAACCTGCGAAAATGGTTTAACATAACCACTACCGGACTTTTCAGGGCAGCAGTCAACAAAGTCAGAATAGCCATGTTAGTGTCCAACATCCGTAACGGATAGGCACCATAAGAAAAAGAATTGAATTCGTAGTTGTATGTAATGGAAAATGAAAAATTGCAGAATACGTTGCAGACATATTATGGACAGCGTTTTTTTAATGTCGAGTTGCTTTAGAATAGAAATTGCTTCTCCTTTTATTGTTATGTTATGAAAGCCCATTTTTGCTTGTTTTCCAGTTTTTATTTCGTCGATTGTTTTTTGTTTTATCATGCTCTGCATTTTTCTTTCTTTTTTACTCAAATCTTGGTTTATATAAGCTCGTGGGTCTTTCAAGCTTTTTAGTTTGTATTTATTTTGCATTATTTTTTCTTCTAGTTCTATTAGACATGTATATTGTGCCAATTTCCGTACTGTCTTAAATTTTGTTTCAATTCTCAGGTGCCAAGTATTTTCTTTTTTACTTTTAGGATTCTTTAAGTCCATTTTATAGTCATTTACTATGATGTTTTTCACTCTTTTTTCTTTTTCAGTTCAAATAACTCAATAGTTTTCAGCATTTCTTCGTATTCTGCCTTCATTTGTTCATTTTCTTTAACTTCTAGGGTATAGCAATATGACTACCAAAGAGAATTGAAATACTATTATAAAAACAATACCTCAATTAACCATGGGAGCTTATCGTTTTTCCTTTCCTCTTTGCCTAGCTCAATATCTTAAGTGTGAGTTCATCTTGTCTTAAACTAGGAATCAAACCATGAACCCTTAGCTGATAACAAATAAAACAGTGTTCAACTAATCATATTTAAAAAAAAAAATAAAAAAAACAATCAACCCTGCCAATGCTTAACAATGAATATAGTAAGGATGATACTTCTGGCATCGATGGCATCAATGGGCTGCTTGTGTGGCCTCCACATTAGACGGTTAGGTCATCCTAAGAGCTGCAGTTATTCCATGTGAGTGTGGCCTCCCAGTTAAGTGGTTAGGTCCTTCAATAGAGTCAATAAATTTTCATAATACGGCCAGTAAAATGTTGGATACGGCCAATTAATCTTCTTCTTCTACTAATTCTTGGAGATCTTTCGATCTGTTTAATTCCCAAGCTGCCTCTGGTTAATTTCCTGGAAGGTAGATTGCCAACTATCCCTCCATCTTTTAGGTGGTCTTCCGGGAGGTTTTGAACCGGGCAGGTTGTTTTCTAGGGCAATTTTTGGGAGTCTATTCTCATCCATTCGTCTTACATGATTGTACCGCATACTCTTCCCGCTGCCGCAGCTCAACCGCTGCCTTCCCCATCTTACAATATCTTGAATTTTCTCTGTCAAGAGACAAGACAAGAAACAAAACGAGACACCGTGTCTCTGTATGGGGCAGAGTCAAAAAATTGATGCCTTTGAGATGTGGTGCTGAAGAATGCTGCGCATACCTTGGACAGCTCACGGGACAAACATTTCCATTATAAACCAACTAGAGATTAAAAAAAGGCCGGGGAGATCAAGAGGACGATCATCAACTAGATTGTCCAACCAAATTAAGAATTCAGTTGGAAACTCATTCTGCGCTGCTCTAAGAGCAGCTGAAGATAGAGACCGATGGAGAAAAATTGTTAAGAATATTGGAAGAAATTACGATCCTCAGTAATGGGGAAAAGACAAGAAAGAGAGAGAGAAAAATAAGTTTAATAAAAGCATACCTACATCCTTAGTACAATTTGTTTAAAAAAACCACTAATAAATTTTTAAATAAAGCAGGTTTCTAAAAATGAAAATACATACATTAATATTTTTTACAGCAATGGGCCCAATCCTTCCGCAGCTTAATGTCATCGGTAAAGAATTGGGAGTATCTTCCTTTGTGATGGGAATAATAACGGGAATTCTTCCAGTAGCGTTTCTTCTGGCGAAACCTGTGTTCGGGCTGATCGTGGATATATTTAGGGACTACAGGAAGTCCATCTTTATCGCTTTAATCGTTGCTACCACAGTTAGTTTTGCGCTTCTAGACTATGTTCCCCAACAACCTGGACTACAAGTAGTGTTAAATGGAACCGATATGCAAGGTTTTAAAAAATGTGATATTAGTGTAAGTACGACTTGATCTTAGTAAAAATATTATTAGTTTGTAAGTAAGTAATTGAATATTTCGGTTCTGTTTCTGCTATTTTTGACCTTTTTTCTCTTTTTGTTTGCACTGTGTTTTTGTTCTCTTCTATTTATGTTAATTATAATTTATCTTTTTACTAACTACTAGTGATTTTGCCCGACACGATTCGATGAGGGATCCAGTCAATTGTCATCTACAGTTACTCTACTCAATTGTTTCTGACTTCGTCCTATTTAAGCCTAGGACGTCAACAAAAATATATTATATTTTAGACAATTGTTAAACTTTTTCATAAAGTCGTCTTATGAAATCGATCTACGCACAAAAACCAGCCTAATTCTAGTTTGGCAATTTATTTGTTGGGAAAGCTCCAGTTTTGTATTACATTTTTTACCGATCACCAAATTCGCAGCAAATATTTTAGGATTAACAAACTTTCAAAAAAATTTAAAATTAAATTTTTAAAATAATAAACTTCTTGAATGAAAGTGCTGATCTTTTCACCTCGAGATAAATATTGTCCTCCTCCTCCTCAGTCCTAATTCCTTTTGGGATGTGGTGACACTACCAGGCGTTTACAGTTTTTTCACGAATTAACGCTATCCTTGTCTGTCCTGGGCTAGTTGTTCAGCTTCATGTAACCCTTGGTTAATCAATATTTTTGTTTGATCTACCCAACGGCTTGGAGATCTTCCCCTAGGTCTCTTTCCTTTAACTCTATCCTCGACTATCAGTTTTTCCATCGTACCTAGCAATGTGTCCAAAATACTGCAAATATCTCTATTGTATTTGTTTAAGCAATCTATCCTTTACTTTAAGTTGTTCTAATATCGATACGTTAGTGCAATGGTCTGCGCCAGGAGATTTTCAATTTTTTAACTTTTTGATTGCTTTTTCTACCTATGACTTTAAAATCTTTGGTTCTTTCTCTGCAGTGAACTCGTCGTGATTTGCATTCTGGGGATCATCTGTATATTGACTTTGACAATATTTTCTCCATATCTCCGCAATCCTTTTGTCGTAATTTATAATATGTTGGTTTTGATCCAATATTGTTTGTGTGATTGGTTTAAATTCCTGGATAGATATCGGACTTTGTTATATAGCTCATGGGATTCATACCGGTTTGCATGTCTCTCTAGTTCTTCGCATTCTTCATTTATATGTTTATTTTGATCATCCCTACATGCTCTTTTAATTTCTCTATTTTACCTTGCTAATTCGTGTTTGTTGCTGTCGTTTTGATATATGAGAGATTTGATTTTCTTTCGCTCTTCGAGAAGTTGCAGCGTTCTGTCTGTCATCCAGTGTTTTCTCTTGATGATCTTTTTTTCGGTTCTGGTTCTTTTTACAGAGGTTTCTATGGCATTTCTGAAACCTTTCCCCATTTCTTCTAAGTTGTCTTGGTTATTCAACATACTAGTTTCCTTTAATGCATCTCTAAATGTTTTCGGATTTAAAATCTCCAGCCTGTTTTGATTTTGGTGCAGCACAGTTCTTTTTAGCTTCATCTTGAAGCAAGCTCATAACAATTTATGATCGGATCCACATTCAGCTCTCGGTCTAGTTTTTATGTTTGTAAAACATGTCTTCTATCTATTTCAAATCAATATGTATTCGATTCGGTTTTCGTATTCTCCATTTGGGCTAGTCCACGTCGATAAACGATGGGCATGATGTTTGAACATTGAGTTTACAATGGCCAAACTGTTTTAGGTTGGAAAATCTATTAAACGTTCGCCCCAGCTGTTTTTTATACATAACCCATAGTTTTCTACATTTTGGATGTTATCATTTCTAATCAGGTGGTTTCCCCTTGCCTGCCTGATCGCAGTATCACGGCCGGTTGAATAATTATATGATATCCGCCCGTGAGTATCTGTCATTAAGCCAACAGTAGAAATCATTAGACAGTAGAAATCGCAGATTTTAGATTAATAAGTCTTATGAGCCAAGTGCTTTAAAAACAGTAGAAATCGCAGATTTTAGATTAATAAGTCTTATGAGCCAAGTGCTTAAAATTCTATTAAAAATACTTCACAATAGGGTATACAAAAGGTGTGAAAAAGAAGTTGGATACGATCAATTTGGATTCCGAGCCGGAATGGGGACCAGAGAGGCCTTGTTTTTATTACAAGTACTGCTGCAGAAGTGTTACGACCAACAAAAGGATGTCTTTCTATGTTTTGTAGACTTCGAAAAGGCATTTGACGCGTAAACCATAATAAAATGTTAAATTCCTTGCAGAGCATCAACTTGGATAGTAAAGATCTCCGATTAATTAAGAACTTATATTGGAGGCAGAGTGCCAAGATTAGGATCGACGATCATACATCTAGAAATATTAGAATAAATAAAGGAGTAAGGCAAGGATGCATACTATCCCCTATGATGTTCAATCTTTACTCGGAACTACTATTCAAGCAAGCCTTAGAAAACCTTTCCACAGGAATAAAAATTAATGGAGAACCAATATCTAGCATAAGATATGCAGATGACACTGTCCTACTGGCTGATACAGACACAAACTTACAGAGTGTTCTAGACCACCTTAAGGATGCTTGTCGAGAGTTTGGAATGAAGATCAACGAAAAAAAAAACAAAAGTAATGGTGATCCAAAGAAAACAGAATATCCCCTTACCTATAAAAATAAATGGGAATATTTTAGAACAGGTAAACCAATACAAATACCTTGGCTGTTGGATTAATTGCAAGCTGAACCCAAGTGGACTTTAAAAATAAAGAGCCTGAATAGAATCGAGGCATTTGAAATGTGGGTGTACCGTAGAATTTTAAAAATTCCTTGGACAGCCCGAAAAACAAATGAAGAAGTACTAGCTAGACTCAATTTAGAAAAAGAACTATTGAGAACAGTCAAAAGAAGAAAAACCAGTTATTTAGGGCATTTGTTGCGCAACGAGAAATACTACATCTCTCAGTTGATAATAAAAGGCAAAATAGAAGGAAAGCGAGGAATTGGAAGAAAAAAATTGTCCTGGTTACGTAATATCAGAAACTGGACAGGACTTGGATTTGAGGAACTCTTAAGAGCAGCTGAAGATAGACAAACGTTTGCCACCATAACCGCTAACCTCCATTGATGGAGACGGCACTTGAAGAAGAAGAATAGCCTTAATGAAGTAATGTCATAGCTGCTGCCCTATGCCATGTCCTTCGTTGGTCCACGGGTGCTTATTCGGTAAAACCTTATTCACACCTATCCTACATATCTGCAGGACATTTCCCTATCAACCAGTGAGACGCTGATAGGGAAATATTGTCCTATCTAACAGATAATAATCTGGAGGATACTCTGTAACTGTCTTTTCATGTCAAATTATGTTGCGGTTACTAATGGTAGTTTCCTTTAGGACTATGGATGAGGTGTTCCATTTGCATTATATCTTTAGTTTCCTATGTATATGTACACAAGCTATTAAGGTTGTCATTATTATCATTATGAATAAGTATAATAATTATTAAAATAATTTGTTTTATTCGTATTTTAGAACGATTTTCGAGGTGGATATCGAAACGTCAAATATTTTTAATTCAAATTGTAATTTATTCCCATTATATAGAGTAGATAATATATAAATTCCACAAGAAAATAGTTTCATAGCCAAACTATTTTAAAATGTAGCAAATTTTATATAAAAATCGACATTTTATCGAATTAATTTCAATTAAAATTTGTATATTATAAATAAGCAATAAAAATAGTTTTCACGAGTACGTCGCAAATTTTCCAGATAAAATGAAATGGTGTAAGTTTCTAAAAATAGATATAATTTTATGTACTTTTAAATACATATATGTATAATTATTATATTTTACATTTGTTACAACAGGTTGTCTCGTGTTTCATCATTAAGTCAATAAATTTTGTTCGTTTTAGACGAATAGGTACTTAAAAATAATGTGAACGTGATATGGCATTCAATGTAAAAGTTTTTTTATGAGTCAAAATAAAAAAAAAATATGATCAATTAGATCATCAATTTATTTATTTTTTTCTTGTGAAACGCATAACAAGAAAACTAGAAGCATTCGAAATGTGGGTGTACCGACGCATTCTTCGTATATCCTGGACCGAACATGTCACCAACATAGAGGTACTCCAAAGAATCGGAAAGGAGAAAGAAATCGTGAATACAATTAAACAAAGAAAGGTTGAATATCTAGGCCACATATTGAGACACGATAAGTACCGTCTGCTACAATTGATTGTCCAGGGAAAAATAGACAGTAAGCGAGGGCCAGGCAGGAGAAGACACTCGTGGCTCCAAAATCTACGGAAGTGGTTCGGGCTCACATCGGTTTGAACTATTCAGAAGCTCCGCAAACAAGATCAAAATTGCCATGTTAATAGCCAACGTTCGCAACGGACAGGGCACTTGAAGAAGAAGAAGAAACGCATTGCTCACAAACCTTAAGCCGGCCACTCACGATACTGCGACGTCGTTCAATTTTATCGAATTCGATTAAGGCTAGGCGCATACACATCGAATTTGGACGGTTGATAAAAGTTTGAGCGACCTTTTGTCGATGATGCCCTGCGCGCAAGTAAAGGGGCTAAGAGAGAAGCAGCGCAAAAACGGTCATTTTCCCATGTAAATCTCCATAAGAAAATCTAAGGTCGATTCTGGTCATTTTTGACGCGTTTTTTGGTGGGGCTAAAATCGCCATATCGTATCTCCATTGTTATTGGTTCGATTGTGAAGTACGAGGGCTCGTTGGAACGGTGAGGAGACGGGAAATACGAACCTCTTCAAACCTGTTCAATACCTGTTGAATACCTGTTCAAACCTGTTCAATACCTGTTCAATACCTGTTCAATACCTGTTCAAACCTGTTCAATACCTGTTCAATACCTGTTCAATACCTGTTCAAACCTGTTCAATACCTGTTCAATACCTGTTCAATACCTGTTCAATACCTGTTCAATACCTGTTCAAACCTGTTCAATACCTCTTCAAAACCTGTTCGAGAATTAATGTAGATATACAATCAATCAGCTTTAATAAACAGGTATTGAACAGGTTTGAATAGGTATTGAACAGGTATTGAACAGGTATTGAACAGGTATTGAACAGGTTTGAACAGGTATTGAACAGGTATTGAACAGGTATTGAACAGGTTTGAAGAGGTTTGTATTTCCCGTCTCCTCACCGTTCCAACGAGCCCTCGTACTTCACAATCCAACCAATAACAATGGAGATACGATATAGCGCCGTTTTGGCAATGTATTGTTTGTTTTCTATCTCTCAACGTTTCCATCCCCTCTGCTTTCCAACGATACCTTACAGGTCATGATCCGACGAGCCCTTTTAGCCCCACCAAAAAAAGCGTCAAAAATGACCAGAATCGACCTTAGATTTTCTTATGGAGATTTACATGGGAAAATGACCGTTTTTGCGCTGGTTCTCTCTTAGCCCCTTTACTCGCGCACACTACACGATATTTATTTGATGACGTTTTTTAATTCACAAAGGTTTGTTAGGTGGAGTACAGAAAATCACAATGAGCAACACAGAACCACGTAGCAACACGGACCGACGTACATGTACCATTTGATACTATACGCCTTGGAACGACGGCAACGACCACGGCAGCCGTGAATGCACTGACATTCATCGATCGCCACACGACCATCACACGACATCGATGCCGTGCCGTTTGGCGATCAATGTGTGTGCCCGCTCACATTTGTTTATTCGCGCCACCAAAGGAATTTATTCGATCGAACTTTTATCGACCGTCTAAATTCGATGTGTGTGCGCTTAGCGTAATTCACAAACATTTTAATCGTCTGTGACCGTTCATTCAACAAAAGCGTTACAATTTTACCACAGAGAAACTGGTTTCTATAAAGCAGTACTGCAGAATTGGTATCATCGACGATTTTGTCGAACGACACCGCTGTATCGTGAGTGGCCGGCTTTACAGTTTCAGTTAAAATCCATAAATATTCCATCAATAAATTGTAACTTTATTGGAGACCGAGGGAATTCTGCGAACGTAAGAGAAAATACTTACAAAGAGTTTCCTATGTGCACACAAACTTTCATATTTTAAATACTGAAACTTATATCTATTCTTCTTCTTCACTGGTTTACAACTTGAGGTGAGTCTTCGTCGCATCCACTATCACCCTCCATCCTTTACGATATTGCGCTTCTATTTCCCATCGTTGTACCCCAATTCTATATAAATCAGCTTCAACATCATCCTTCCATCTTTTTATCGGTCGACCTACTGAGCTTCTACCATCTGGTCTTTCAAAAAACACTGTCTTTAATACTCTATCATCCTCTGATCATACCACGTGACCTGCCCAATCTTATTCGGTTTGCTCGATATATCCAACTATGTTTTCAATTCCATACAGTACAATCCCCTGTGAATTCATCTCTTTGAGGGCCAAATATTATGCTGAGAACCTTTCTTTCAAATACTAGAAGCTTATTGATTTTCCGCTGGTTAAGAGTCCATGTTTCACTACCATATGTAATAATTGGACGAATAGACTTGTACAGTGTTAATTTAGATTTTCTTTTTAGTAGCTTCGATCTTAATAATGTTGAAAGGGAGTATAATGCTCTATTTCCCGCAGCTATCCTTGCTGAGACCTCTTTTTCTATGTGGTTGTCAGCTGTTATTATCGCCCCCAGGAATTTAAACTCCTTTACTACTGCGTAGTTTTTATCAATAATACTGATGTTCTGCCTAACTCTTGGTCTTGAATTTTTGGTTACTACCATGTATTTCGTCTTTTCTTCATATATTCGGAGACCAAGCCTACCTGTTTCCTCCTCAAGCTGTGAAAACTACTCTCTCACGTCTCTTGTAGAATGCGTGATCCATCTATATCAGCAACAAAGGCGAGCAACAGTTTTAATCCTTGATCAGCAAATCTTCCTGTCAGCTCAGTTTGATCCAGTCGAAAAACAACTCCATTTATATAACCGTTTTTTGAACATCTGTATATTGCTCCAATTAGGCCTCCTCTCATTTGTTGTAGATTGATACGTATTTGAGGGAATATGAACAAGGCAAGGGAATATGACTAGGAAGGGCAAGCTATCCTGAGGCATTTACAGCGCATACTATGGTAACGTTTTTCCAACTTTTCTTTACAAGATATTATGGATCCTTCATGTTTTTGACCTTTTGGTGCCAAATTTTTTGTTGGTGTCTGGACCGTAGAAATGTCCGTTTCATCTACAATAAAAATTCGACTGTCAGGAAATGTGAACTTTTCCATAACTGTCAGTAGTTCAATCTCAGCTTCATTGAATGCAAAAATGCGGTGTTGAAATGTACCATCTGGTTTTCTAACACTAATATCTGGATGATGCTTTAAAAAGAGTTCTAACCAATCTTTACCAGCGATTTTCTTTAAAACATATCCATCCAAAATGACATATTCGCCAATTTTTTTACATGGATGGCTATTGTGGATTTCTGTTCATCATTAAAAATTGCAAACTTGCCAAGTTTTATCTTTTTGTGGTTATTGAACTCTAGTTTGTCACGTAGAGTATATTCTGGAATATTGAATGATTGGCCTACTTCTCGTATTTTTCGCCCAGATCGTATAGCAATGATAGCAGCTTTTAGTTTCTCTTCTGCCCATTTCGATCTCTCGATTTTTCAAACGTAAGCACGGGGAATTTTGGAATCTAAAAAGCAATACAACAGTATATCAGCAAAAATTCTCATATAGGCTAATACCGCTCAGCGTACAATTACCCCGTACAAGAAATTATCTATACATATAAAGCAAAATAGTCATGGAATAGTTTTAATGAAAATTATTAACAAAAGCACTTACTCCTTAGAAGATTATTCGAAAATTACATTGACATCTTGAAAAACAAACAATGGGCGACCTTTTCTAAAGCAAAACTTCGAATGCAGTTATATTATTGTACAAACATGTGATCTGCTAGCGAATACGAGACTGCGCTGTGTTAATGTTAAATATTAAAATACTTATGCAATGTTGCCAAGATACTGATGCGCAGAATTTGCCCGTGCGCGAAATTTAACCAATCTTCTATAATTATAAAAGAGTTAATCCGCCAAACCTTAGCGTAGTATAAAAGTAATCAAAGAATACGAAATGTTTCATATTAGCATTTTTATTACTGTTTTCATCTAGTTTTGACATTTTAATTTACTGTTTAATATATTTTAAGAATATATTCGAAAATAATTGATGGATTCGACCGTTACTTGATGGAAATTTATTTTATGTAACAATAAAACACTGAAAACTTTGTTTTCAAACTTCCACAAAATTTATTTTAACTATTATCACTACAGCTGTTTCGGCTGATAGCCTTTCTCAAGTGATCTATTTTTGGCTTGGGTTTACAAATTTATAGTTTCTAATGAAATAGGTTGAGGAGGGGAGAACTGTTTGTCTCAAGTTGGTCATTCAGAATTATATCTGTGTTTTTTAATTTGTTAATTTCCATAGATTCTAACAAAGATAGCTTAAGGCCTTTATTTTGAATGTGAAGAATTTTAAATTTGTCATTAAAAGAATGATTATGATCTAGAAGGTGAAGTGCGTATGTCGAATCTGTTTTTCTATTCTTGAAAGCCCTTTTATGTTCTGCTATTCGTTTATCAAAGTTTCTACCAGTTTGACCGATGTAAGTTTTTGGGCAGTCGCCACATTGAAGTTTGTACACACCACTATTTAAGTGTTTTTTATTTTGGCTCTTGATATTTTTAATATATTTACCTAGGTTGTTATTTGTTCGGAAAGCTGGTGTTATTCCTTTTTTTTATGTGAACAAATAACAACCTAGGTAAATATATTAAAAATAACAAGAGCCAAAATAAAAAACACTTAAATAGTGGTGTGTACAAACTTCAGTGTGGCGACTCCCCAAAAAGTTACATCGGTCAAACTGGTAGAAACTTTGATAAACGAATAGCAGAACATAAAAGGGCTTTCAAGAATAGAAAAACAGATTCGACATGCGCACTTCACCTTCTAGATCATAATCATTCTTTTAATGACAAATTTAAAATTCTTTACTTCTTATTCTTATTCTTTTTAATCATATATTAATGTTTTAGAAAATTAATACTGAGGAAAACTGTAGCAATGTCACCAAACGTCTAATATGCACTTCCAATTGTTACGAATACCCACAACCATTTTTGGTAGAAACTTCAAACTCTTCGTCATTCGAGCAAGAACAATTGTGCCAATTGGAAACCATAACTGTCCTTATTGAACCGAATATTACAAACAGTAGCGACAATTCCTGTCATCTGAAGTGCCATCAAGACTTTGAAAACGGCCACGATTGTCTCTATAAACAGCTCACCTTTTGGGTGTACGTTATTTTCATGTGTGTTGGGTCTGTCGGATTCAACGTGGTCAATTCGATCAGTGACGCCATATGCTTTGATGTTATTGGTAAGTTTATATCGAAATCACTTTTACGATGTTAAATTTTATCGCGGAAAGTCACAAGAAGATAACAGGAATAAAGCGAATAACGCTAGCCTGAATTTTTAATCGGATAGGGTACCATATTGGAGTTTTATTACCCAGGAATCCCACATAAAGAGCATTTGGCTGATAGTTCTGCTCCTATCGCGAATAAGAGTATGGGGAAAGGGATGGTCTGGACCATTGGAGCGCGATGGGGTGATTCCTGTTTAACTCGAATCCATACAACTCGCTCCAATGAAGTGTTACACCAGAACGTAATTGTAAGGGGTGAACATGTCTCACAGGCTGAGTTTGAAAAAATTGCTATCTTGATGTTAAAATTGACCATCAGCAATTGATATTTTCAAACTCTGTTACTTTTGTTTCTGCCAATGAAACTTTTTTATTGTTCTTTCGTCCTTCTGTATAAACTTTTTCTATGAGTTCTTGCACTTTCTATGGGTGTTATTTATCTGTTTCTATTTACTTCTTTTATTAATTTCTTTAATGATATCTTCCACAAAGTGTACAGACCCACATCAATAATTGTCTTAATTCAAAAACTATTTTATATAGTTCTTAAACATTTGTTTAAGATTTTTTTCAAAAATCCTTTATAAAAGGTATCTTCTTCTTTGCTTGCCATATCAGAATTATCCGACGTTCATCATATTTTCTATCTGCAGTCGGGGCATAGATTTGAAGAGAAATAGAAGAGTTTTTTACGTTTTCTGGATGAATATACTAATATCAATGCTTTCTATCCAAGATCACCTAGTACCAAGATAAAAATTTTGGTATCAACATAGAAAATAACAACTTTATTCCTACCTACTACACATTATTAACTGCTTCTAGGATTGATTTGCTTTATATAATTTTATATTCTCTATAATCTTTCATAACACTGTTATCTATTTAATCCCGTATTGTTCCACCATTTCTCTAAACCAGAAGTGAACATAGAGTAAATTAGATCAAACACATATCTACTTTATTGCAGATGTTTGCTTTAGTATTTGTTTTTTAGGGCAGGAATATGATTACGGAAAGCAAAGAGTATGGGGTACAATAGGTTTTGGAACTTCAGCTCTCATAGCTGGATATGCAGTAGATTATTTTTCTGGTACTTCAATATCTTACACACCAGCTTTAATTGTGATGGTTGTTTGTTCCGTGGTCGATCTTTTGGCCTGCACTAAATTAAAGGTAAGTTAAATAATACCATAATACAAAAAAAATGTCCTTTAGAGTTTATTGTTATTATATTCTTTGCTATTATTCTACTACTTATTGCATATATTGGAAAAAATTAAATTATTGGAAAAATTTTTCACCAAGCAACAAAAAACAAACATTACCATAAACGATCATAATTTTGATGTGGTCAAAGAATTCAAATACCTAGGAGCAACAATTACCAGTGAAAACACAGGAGAACGGGAGGTAGAAATACAAATACTGGCGGGGAATAAATCATTCTTTGCCATTCAACATCTAATGAGGTCAAAGCTTCTCTCAAGGCGTGCCAAAATCCAAATGTACAAAACCATAATACGACCAGCAGTGACATATGGAAGTGAAACATGGACATTGAGAAAGAAAGAAATCAATAAGCTATTAGTATGGGAACGCAAAATCCTGCGAATTATATATGGTCCTTGAAGGGACAGCGTGACAAATGAATGGAGGAGCAGATACAACAATGAAATAGAGACTCTCTTTGGGAAAGGAAACATCGTAAGATACATAAAAGCCAATAGATTAAGATGGGCAGGCCACGTGGTACGGAGTGATGACGACTGATTAGCAATATGTTTTGGGAAAGACCAGGTGGTAGAAGATCGACAGGAAGGCCTAGAAAAAGGTGGAAAGACGCAGTCAGGGAAGACCTGGAGAAGATGGAAGTAAGGCCATGGGAAATAATAGCACAGGATCGGAATCAATGGAAGGCAATAGTAAACGCGGCAAAACTCACGAAGAGTTGTAAAAGCCAATGATGATGATGATGAACAAAAAACAAAATTTGCAAAAATCCCCTTAAAAGAGTAATTACTTTAAGATGCCACAAGAAAATAGCTTCGGAACAATATTTCTGTATATATTTTGTAAATAGCCACGATATATTTCTTGATACATTGAAGAAAAAAAGCACCTCTTCCTTTAAGACCATTCATAGCATTATTGGCCATTTCAGACGTTAAACGATAGAAAGACTTTATTTGATTTTCTTTTTGGAGGTGAAGACGTTTGTGGCGTTCTAAATACTAATTTAGATAAAACTGCTGGTGAGTGATTTGCTGTATCTTCCATCTTTTGGAGATATAAGAAAATTTATTGGTGGCATGTTTTAAACGGTAAATCCTCTGGCATATCTATTGAGGAGTACAAGAGGGTGGATTATTCAAATTCAAATTCTACCGCCTGTATGACAAACCTGATATTATTAGGTCCATAAAATAATCCGGCTGTAGTGGTTGGGTCACATAGAAAGAATGAATAAGATGGAGCCGCCAAAACATATTTCTAACCAAAGAATATATGGAGTGAGAAAGAGAGGCAGACCCAGAGCACGATTTAAGGATCAGGTGGAGGAAGATTTGAGAATGTTGGGAGTACGAAACTGGAAAGCCAAGGCGAGGAATAGGAGAAAATGGAGACTTATAATTGAGCAGGCCAAGGCCCACCATGGGTTGTGGAGCCCATGATGATGATGATAGGTGGCATGTATCAATTCAATGATTGAGAAGTGAAAACTCGTACGTCTTCACTCTGTTTATATGACTTTTGTTCAGGCAAGATGTTCAGGCGGTTGACAAAAGACCAGGGATAGTTTTGTAACAAGTCTCCTCCACAGATTTATTCTTTTTTCCTTGCAAGTATTAGATTACATTATACCTAATCTTTATGCTGTCTCTGCATTAAAAATTGAATTGGAATGCATGTATAACTGCTTTTGTCCAATTTAATTATCGAATGTGGTAGTAAAAATAATAAAAAAAATAGAGTTTGACAAGATTATTATGAGATCCTAGTTTTGCAGCTAAAATCATTAACTTTCTAATTATTTCTTTATTTATAACAAAAATGTTTGTTGTATTGAGAGAAACATCCTTTTCTTCTAGTAAATATTTTAGTTGCCCATAATGGAAGCACCCGAGAACATTTTCAAGGACCTTAGAGAACTGATGAAAGACAAAAAAGTCGTCGTTTTTCTAGCTTTCACCGTATTTGCTGGAATTGTGGACAGTTTTCACATTTACTATTTATTTTGGTAAGTTTAACAGATTTATTTAAAATAAAGAGACGTTGGGTATGTCTAATTATATGTTTAAGGTATCTGGAGGACCTTGCAGAGGCATCGCAGACAACAAATATCAAATTATTGGAAGGGATAATAGTTGCCGCTGAGACGTTGGGCGGTGAAGTTATTTTTTTCTCTATATCAGGTAAATTCTTTGTCTCAAGTAATTAAAATAAGATAGGTAAAAGAAATACTAAATATGACTTACTCACAATCAATTTAATTTAACTATCAGACGACCGGTTTCGCTTTCTGCAATATGCAAAGCATCTTCAGGTCTCGATACAAAGTTAAATAAATGATGCCGGTACTCTATTAATTGATGGTTGGAAGAACATGGTTCAAACTATCCTGTATTGTTGAATGGAGAACTTAGTCTGCTATTGTAATTGTTTTACAATAAACGGGGAAGTTTTTGAGAAGATATATTTTATCAAATGAAGTAGAGATAGGTGTAATGTGATTGTTTGTTCGATGAAAGTGATGTTCTATACCATTGAATTATTTAAAAGTTATTTATATTTATTCAAGAGATATATTTATGAAATGTGTGTTATTTATTGAGATTTTATTTTATGAAGGTGACAGTTATGTGACAATGAATGAGATTAGATGTGCAAATTGTGTGGGTGTGCAATTCTTTCAACTTGTAATTATCAAATTTCTTTGATAAAGTTCTATTGACATATATGGCAAATGATTGCAAAGTCAAGTATATAAAATCATTAAAGTTAAAGCAATTAAGGACAATTTAAGACACACAGAAAATACTTAGAAGGGGGGGGGGACAAAACAAACATTAAATTTAAAAAGGAAGGACTTGAATGCACTACATCTCTGACTTGGAGACAATTGTCTTCAAAAGAAGCCTTAGTCTTTCTTCTTGGAATCTGCAAACTCACCATTCCGTCACAATACTATCTCTAGTTACCCCAGTTTTCCTCAGATTAGTCTTGCTGCTTCCTGACATTATTTTTCTATTATCTCTGAAATTTCTTCTTGACCTACCAGTCTGACTATAACCCACAAAAAATTGTCTTATTAAAGGCACTTTTTACTCCAGTGTCCATCTTTTGCAGTTTACCATTCCACCAAGAAGCACTGTTGGTTCCCTTGGATACAATGAGATGATAGCCATTGGGCCAGTCTTATTGTCTGGCTACAATTTTCGACCTCAAAACTTCTTTATTAACTCCAGTTCATTGGATAATTATTGCATTTAGGCGACATTCATTACCAAACAATTTTCTTCGGCTCTCACAGATTCACACAGTATTTTATCGTTATCTGTAGCAACTGTGGCAAATTTCTGTTTAGCAATTACAATTAGGTGATTGTACTAACATTGGTATCAGCTTAACTGATTTTGGGAGTATTTTTCTTGTCAAAGGTTTGTAAACTAAATTATCTACAACAAGGTCCATTACACTCTATATAACAAGTATAGAAATCGTTATTAAATATTTTTAGTTCTAACAAAAAGTACATATTTTAAATACTTTTCTTTATTTTCAATCTTATTTATGATAGTTTTTAAGATATATGACAACCCATATTGATAAAAATGTTCTTTTTTCTCAGGTGTCATTCTAGAACGCTTTGGACACGTACACTGCTTCAGCATGTGCTTCATTAACTACGCTCTACGCTTGGGATTACTATCTGTAGCTCCTAGTCCATGGTGGGTAGTTCCAATAGAGTTTATTTTTCAAGGACCGACATATGCTCTTACTTATACAACGATAGTGGCGTACGCCAACGAATTAGCACCACCCGGTGCCTCTGCTACCATGCAAGGAATAGCTGCTGGAATGGATGATGGATTTGGTAAGAGGAAATATTTATTTTATAATAACTCATCATCACAGTCATTAACATCTTAGTAGATGTGTTGTGGTTCATAATTGGGCTTCAGCAGCTCGGACAGTTTGATTGATAATATTTCTCCACTGGTCGCGGTCATCAGTTATATGTATTGCCTCAGTATACTGTTTATTGAGAAGCTTTTTAGTAATGTCCGCCCATCGCTGTGGAGATCTTCCGCGTTGGCGTTGAGTCTGAGGCCTTCCTTGGACCACCAACCGCTCCATTTTGTGATCACTTCGATGAATATGGCCAAAAAACTTTACAATTCTAGAGTAAACGGTACTGGAGAGACGCTGATCCGGTTTAATTTCATTCAGAACCGAGATATTTGTACGGCGAGCCGTCCATGGAATTCGAAGCCGGCGTCTCCATGTCCACATTTCAAAGGCGTCTATACGTCGTCGATCTGATTCTTTGACTGTCCATGTCTCGCATGCAGTAAAATATGGAAAAAACCAGAGTTGAAACGAGTCTCTTTTTGTTTGTCATAGTAATGTGACGATCACGCCAGACCCCGTTTAGTTTACTCATTGCTGCTCTTGCTAGTTGAATGCGTCTTCTAATTTCGGATTCACAACTGCCTGTGTTGTTAACTAGAGCTCCAAGATATATCATAGATGAGACTACCTCGCATCCCGCAATAGTTTGGGTTTCAGGAAACTGTTGTTGGCGATCAATAACCATGATTTTGGTTTTGTTGTAGTTAACCATGAGTCCAAATTTAGCACTTTGTACCTCGAGTTTTTTTAATATTTAATAATTTCTTCTGGAGTAGAGGTCAGAAGTGTAGTGTCGTCTGCGAAACGCAAGTTAGATATCTTAACACCACCTAGGTTTACTCCTCCCTCCCAACCATCTAAAACTCTGCGCATTATGAACTCCGAATAGATGTTAAATAATAAGGGAGATAAAACGCATCCTTGGCGTACTCACTTCTCCAAAGTGCATTTGTCAGACAGATATCCGTCCATTCGAATATATGCCAGGTTATCTTGATACAGTTTGCTAATAAGGTGAGTCAAGTGTTTAGGTACACCCATTGTCGTCAATATGTTCCATAGTTTGTCCCATCTAACATTATCAAAGGCCTTTGTATAATCGACGAAACATATAAATATCGGGATTTGGTATTCTCTGGCTTTTTCTATGATGTTTCGTACATTAAGGATTTGTTCTCTAGTACCTCTGCCCTTTACAAATCCAGCCTGCTCAGGTGCTATTTGCCAACTTATGAAGTTTTCTAGACGCCGTTGCAGTATGTAGAGGATCACCTTAATAATAACTAACTTAATTTAATTCACTACATTTAGTAAATTTTAATAAAGTAATTTTCACATAGACTGTCTGGAACTTTCCTGAAGTGCGTGTTTTTTTTTTAATTGTGCTAATTATTTTTGTAGGTTATGCTATCGGTAGTCTTTTGGGAGGAACTTTATACAAATACCTCGGAGGAAAACCAACCATACAAATTTTTAGTTTTATCGCTGTCATCTGCAGTATTTTACATTTGGTTTTGCACAAAACCATTCTTAAAACTGAAGAGTCGGTTGACCAAGTGGAATATAAATCACCAGAGGATGCAATCAAAATAAAGTTAGAGAAAGAAAGTGACTGAGTTAATTAGTTTTTAAAATTGTATATATAGTAATAAAATATGTATTCAATTGTAAATAATAGCAGTAAATTATAAAATAAATTAAATTAAGCTTTATATGTATATGATGAATAAGCAATCGTATATGTTTTTTTGAATATTAATAAATATATTTGTTTTTAATTTCTTTATTTTCGATCTTTAGGATATCTTCTTCTTTAAGTTCCATCTTCTATCGAAGGTTGGAAATCATCATGGCTATGCGGACTCTGTTGACTGCCGCTCTAAAAAGTTCTGCACTACTGCATTCTAACCATTCCCTTAAGTTCTTAAGCCAGGATATTCTTCGTCTTCCCACATCGTCTTCGCTTTCCTCGGATTTTGCCCTGCATAATAAGTTGTAATAATGCGTATTTTTGCCCTCTCATCACATGTCCCAAGTACTCAAGTTTTCGTCTTTTAATAGTTAATATTATTTCCGCCTCATTTCCTATTCTTCTAGTTACTTCCATGTTTGACATTCTTTGAATCCATGATATTTGTAGGATTTTTCTGTAACACCAAATTTCAACGGCGGCCAACTTATTCAGATGAAATTGTTTTAGTGTTCAAGCTTCCAAACCTCTCTCTCTCATTCTCAGGCGTAGTTCTAACCTTATATCCCGACAAGAAAGAAACTTTTTAAGTTTAATAAATGATGTACGTGCTATTTCAATACGTGTCTTAATTTCTTTGGTTTGGTCTACATCTGATGTTATCCATGTTCCTAAGTATTTATATTTATTAACACTCTCAACTGCAGTATAATCAATAGTCAATTGGATATTTGCATATGCAGATTTAGTCATGATCATGCATTTAGTTTTCTTTAAATTTATCTTCAGTCCGTACTCATGACAGCGTTCATTAAGGCGTTGCATTACGTTCTGTAAATCATTGTTGTTATCCGTAATTATTACTGTATCGTCTGCAAAACGTAAGTTATTCAAAAATTCTCCATTGATAGATATACCTTCTATTGAGTCTAAGAGCGCTTCTTGAAATACCGCTTCACTGTAGATATTGAAAAGTAGTGGGGACAGCACGCAACCCTGGCGGACTCCTCTCTGTATTTTGATATTTTCGGTGTACTAGCTGTCAACTCTTACCTTGACAGTTTGATTCCAATATAATGGATATATCTTGTTACTTTAGGATATATCTTGTACTTATTTTGAAATTTAAGTAGACCACCCTTGTTGAGATTTGATTTATTGACACAATTCTGTTGACAATTTTTTGTAAATAAAGAAGCCGATGCCTTCGAATATTGATTCTTCTTCTCCTTTGTAGTAGGGGAAGGGTATACAAAACGACATACATTTTTAAAAAACTGGACATTTTATTTAAAAAAAATATTTTTTTAACAAAACTTTAATAGAACACAAACTAAAGTATTTGACACACTTCAGAAAAGTGTTAACAAAGTAGGAGAAAATATAAACTTTTAGCCAAACATCTTCTTCTTTTTAAAGTGCCCTCTCCTCAATGGAGGTTGGCTACTACATTTTTAAACTCTTCTCTATCTTCAGCTGTTCTTATTAGCTGTTCAAAATTTAGCTCTGTCCATCGTCGGATGTTTCTGAGCCACGATAGTCTTTTCCTTTCTAGGCCTCTTTTTCCCTCGATTTTTCCTTTCACTATAAGCTGGGCATATTGGTACTTATTATTTCTCAGTATGTGGCCTAGGTATGATGTTTTTGTAACTGTGTTAAAAAGTTCTCTTTCCTTGCCTATTCTATGCAGCACTTCTTCGTTTGAGGTATGCGATGTCCATGAAATTTTGAGTATTCTCAAAGGCCTCCAATTTATTTACGGTTGATGTTTTAAGGGTCCACGTTTCAACTGCATATAGAAGAGTCGACCAGACGTAGAATTTTGATAAACGTAGTCGAATTTAGAGTTTTATTCAAGAATCACAAATCAGTTTTTTTATTTCTTCGAAAGATTTTCTGGCCTGTTCTATTCTTGATCTTATTTCTAGATCAGGATTTAGGCTGCTATCGATCCAACATCCCAGGTACTTAAATCTATTGACCTGTTCTAAAATGTGTCCATTTATTGTGCAAGGTTGAGGTACGTTTTGGTTTTTTCGGATTGACATCACCTTGGTATTTTTAATATTTATTTTCATACCAAATTGCTCACAGGTCAAGTTGGTCTTGTCGATGTATCATCGTATCATCGACGTATCCGATACTGTTAATATTTACGCCATTCACATTGACTCCGTCCTTGGAATCCTCCAATGCTTCTTTAAATAGAAACTCGGAGTAAAGATTAAACAGCAGAGGCGACAGAACACATCCTTGTCTAACTCCCCTCCTAATTTCTACTTCTGCGGATGTGGAACTCTGGCGTTTTGGTTCCAGTACAAGTTTTTTAAGAATTTGATGTCTTTTCCATCTAAACCGACATCTTGCAAACGTTCTAATAGTAGGTCGTGTCTTACTCTATCAAATGCTTTTTCGAAGTCTATAAAGCATATAAATATATCTTTCTGTTGGTCGTAGCATTTTTGGGCGAGAACTAGTAAACTGAACAGGGCTTCTCTCGTTCCCATGCCGGCTCTGAATCCAACAAACTGATCATCTCCGATGATTGTTTCGCACTTTCTATAGATACGATTATGTACGATTTTTAGTAGGACTTTTACTGCATGACTCATAAGGCTTATCAGACGAAACTCATTGCAGTGTTGTAGGTTTGGCTTTTTTGGTAGTGGGATGAATATTGATCCCAGCCAATCTTGGGGTATTTTACCTGTAACATAAATGCGATTGAATAAAAGGACAAATATTTCGATATTTTCTTCGCTGATTAATTTTAACGTTTCTGGATATATTCCGTCTGGACCTGATCTTTTATTTGTTTTGAGATGATTAATTGCATTTATGATTTCAGATTTCAGAATTGTTGGCCCTTCGTTGTTATTTTCCAATCTTGGTTGTTCTCGTATGTCGTGAAAAAGAATTTTAATATAGTTTTCCCATTCTTTCAGTTTATCTTCCGTTGATTCTAGCAGTTTAACATCCGTGTTCAGCATGGTGTGAAAAGTCGTTCTCTTGGTAGTCGATGTAAACTCTTTTACTTTTTTATGTAAATTAAAAAAATCGTGCCTTTGTTGCAGTTCTTCTATTTCAACGCATTTTGTTTCCAGCCATTTCTCTTTTGCTTCGGTTATTTTTTTTCGAATTATTCTATTTAGTCTTTTGTATTCTCCGTCCTTTTGTAATTTTTTCCTTTAGATTCTCTTCGTTTGTTCATTAATTATAAAATCTCTTCTGTCATCCATTCGTGTTTGTATTTCTAGGTGTTACTTTTAAATGTTTTTCCCTTGCATTAGCCAAACATATAAAAATGAATAGGAAAAGTTCATTTTACCCCACCTGGTGGGAAAAACGACACATTATTAGCGATTAGTATTCTTCAGTCGATACAAACCCCGCAAACAAACATTTTTGTTTTCTTGTCTAGTTCGGCACACTCACATGTGTCCACTTTTGACACGAACAACAGCATAGTCATAGCTCACCATTTTTAGACAACTTCTACAGTTCTGTACAGTAAATGTAAGCAGCATCATCATTTTCTTCATCAACAGAACAAGGTTCTCCTTCGTTTTCTGACTTACATTCTATAAAAACATTCCTCTTTACCACTCTTTTTATTTTTGGAGGGATCTCTGATTTCGGTTTGCTTTTTTCTTTTGCAGAGTTAAGAATAGAAGTGCCTTGATGTTTCCTTGTCTTTCTTTTTCCTGGAAACAAGTGGTCTGATTGGAACTGGACTTAAATATATCGGAGTAAGCACTAGTATAATACCACTTGTTGGAGTTTGACTGAGCTGTCATCACATTAGGGACTTCTATAGTAGAAGAGGAAGGTCCAGATTCTTCATTATTATCATAAACGTTTACATATATAAACAGATATACGTATACATCATAAACAGATTTGATACTATCTACTAAAATATTTGTAGCTTTAGATGCTTGAAACATGTAGTCGGGGAACACATCGGGGTTTATTTGGTAGATACCAGTTTTGAAAAATCCATGAAAAGCATTCTAGACATTAGCTACTTTTCCATATGCTTCATTTAACAGACCACCAATTTGGAACTGGAACTCGACAGGATGAGCTTTGAGCTATTTGGTTATTTCTTGGTCATAATAGGTTTTAAGTGGACCAAAGAATGCTACATCGAGAGGTTGCATCCGATGTGTACAGTGAGCCGGCAAACATAAAAGTGCAATACCATTTTCTTTGGTATATTTTTGGAAATATGTCAAGGCATCTTCCACCGAATCAAATATGACAAGGCTCAACCATTGTGAAAACACTGCTTATTAAATTTTGTAAAAATGTTAGGTCATTTCTGAAACTCCAGACAAAAGTAAAAATATCTAACTCACTAACTTAGATTTAAGATTTTAAAATATATAGCGAGATAATACAGTAAATTTATTAGAAAAACACCAACTTGACAAGGTAATAATAAATAACTGTAGAAAAATACAGAAATTGTAAATATTTATCAACATACAATTTAATAAAAACATTGCCGAAAAATAAAAAATTCCAGTTAGTTTGATGGTATTGCTGTAAATATTTTCGATCTAGTAACACAATCATAATGTAGACCGATAATAGAGCCAGCCCCGTAAACATAAACATCCCTAAATACTCATCCCCGAGCGATAATATTTCTCCTTCATGTCTAGGCTGAATTAACCGATATCAGTATAAATATTATGAACTTTGTACGAGTGTTTCGTGTCTCAATGGCTAATTTATCGGGCGAGAGGACGTAATGGTAACGTACGAAGTTGGATAAAGTTGTGTAAAGATTGTGAACGGCGGTGGATCCGTTCCTACCATCGCTGGTGCCTCGTGCCCATGATCGGGGCCGCGATGGTGATGTTACCCGCCTGTCAAATGGTGAGAATGATCAGGTGTGTGAGCCCTAACTTTGTTATGGAAACAAAATTACCACTAAAATAATCGTTAGCGTTATTAGGGTCATTAGATGTGACCCGGCGTCAATTGCACAGGGTTGGATTTTTATATATGCAATATCTCATTGAGGCAATAAGAATTATAGTATTCTAATAAAAAAATTTCAACACAATCTATTTTATT